CAGCCAGTGTCACTCCTAAAACTACACCACCAGCACCACGTAAAATGTCCACCACAGCCAGTGTCACTCCTAAAACTACACCACCAGCCTCTCCTAAAACATTACCTGCAAAGGACACCAAACCACCGCCTGTCCAGAAAACAGAGGAGAAGAAACCAGAGAAACCACAGCAGGATAAGACTCCTTCAACAGTTCAAGCCAAAGTGGACAAAGTTCCATCAGAGCCCCCTAAGGTGCCAGTAGACACCCAAGGTGCTTCAAAAGCAGATCAGTCTGTCTGCCCACTATGTAAGGTGAAACTTACAGTGGGCCCCACAGATCCTCCTAACTACAACACTTGCACAGAATGCAAGACAACTGTCTGCAATCAGTGTGGCTTTAATCCAGTACCAGATGATTTAAAGGTATGCAACTTTCTGTTTATTGTTGCCCTTTTTGTAGTTTTCATATTTTTGTCACTCAATTATTGTTAAATCAAGTATTACTTGATTTACAAAACAATCCAGCCATAACAGCTTTATGAATATTTAACTGATGTTAATCTGAATTTAATCTAAATCTAAAGACTTAATCTAAATTATTGGTAATAAATTGCCTGAATTGGCTTAATTTTTGCCATTTATCTCCAGTAAAATGCACAAATTATAGGAAGAATTTGAACACCAAATTTGAGAAATAATTTGTTAAAATATAGATGTTTTATTTTTCAAGAGACATCGAAAACATGTTGCATACCCCAATTTGAGACTGTAACTTTTGAAACTTACATTTGGAGAAGAATTATCAGATTGAGTTGATAAAAGCTACGCTACTCTGAGTCAAAAATATAAAAAAAAAGTAACAAAGCTGGGCATTATAGAAAAGCTTTTAAAACAATACAGGAGCTCTCACAGTTCCTATTGTTTGAAAAAAAAAGTTCGCCTCTGATTTTTTTTTATAATTATGCCTTATTAAAATTGCATTAAAAGAAAATAAAAACTACATTACACTGGTAAAACAGTTTGAGAAATTAAACACATTTTATTTTTCAATGATCATGATTTGTTTGTATGAATGAATCCCCTTTGAATATATGCACGTTACATTAGTAACCTTGATATCATTGGATATTCTTTGTGCTTTAAAATCATTGCACCTTCATCTGATTTCAGAACACTGTTATTGTTTTTTTATTTATTGGACAGTGATTTATGCTTTCCATTACACTTGTTCCAGGTAAAGGAATGGCTTTGTTTAAACTGCCAGATGCAGAGAGCCCTTGGAGTATCTGAAGCCATTGAACCTACTGTGGTGAAACCCCAGCCCATGCCAAGCAAGGTTTCTACACCTCCTCGCTCTGAACAGAAGGACACACCGACATTAGTCCAGAAGGAGAAAGCTGCAGAGTATGCAGATGTCCAAAAAGAGGCTACTCAAATAGTTCAACCCAGAAAAGAAATTCTCAAAGGTGAGGCTCCAGTGCCAACTGCAGTCCAAAGGATGGACAAAGCACAGCAAGATTCTGTGGAAAAGGCACAAGGACATGCTCAGGATGTGGCCAGCCAGCCAAAGCTTGTGGAAAAACCCCCACAAGGACAGATTTCACAACCTACAAAGCCAGAAGTAAAGTCAGGTTTCGCAAAACAAGAAGCTGGCAAACTACCACAACAGCCATCAAAGCCATTGACCCAATCTCCCAAGCCTGCCCCACCACCAGCTCAACCCGCGAAACAGGAGTCTGGTGGTTTCTTTGGCTTTGGTGCCCCTAAACCTACTGTTCCAAAGCCTGCTGAGTCAGTGACTGGGAAGATGTTTGGTTTTGGTTCATCAATTTTAAGTTCTGCATCTACATTGATAACCTCGGCAGTTCAGGATGAACCTAAAGTTACACCACCTACTCCACGGAAGATGTCCACTACAACAAGTGTCAGCCCTAAACCTACACCTCCGGTTTCTCCTAAGATGCCCCCAGTAAAGGATAGTAAACCACCGGCAACACAGACACCTGATCCACTTCAACAGGCCAAGGCTACACCATTAGCACAGGACAAAGTGCTTCAGGTTGCTCCTAAAGAAAGTCTGTCTACCTGTCTGCTCTGTAAGGTCAAACTCAATGTGGGAACGAAGGAGCCACCCAATTACAACACCTGTACTGAATGCAAGAACATTGTCTGCAATCTTTGTGGATTTAACCCCATGCCTCATACAGCAGTGGTAAGTACAAAAATTCTCTTGAATACACATATTAATGTTTCAGTTACAATTTACAGAAAAAAGGGAGTTTTTTTCATCAGCTGATATGCCTTGTGTTCAACTGGCAGGAGTGATCCTTATCATGATCATGTCTTTTTGCATTAATGTGACAAAAGCACCTTATTTTAATATTCAGTGTTTCCATTGGGGAGCCAAACATGAGTAAGAGCACCACAGAATGATAGTGAAGTGGCCATGTTGCTCCATTTGCACACTTTTCAACATAATTTATTTCAGTGGCTTCTTAGTTTATATAAAACAAATTGTTCCAGTACAAAAGTTTTGGTCAGGCACATTGTTGGCTTTCATGTAAAAGTTGCATAAAATCTAATATAAGAACACTCACGTTTTGGCAATGCACCTGAGACATGTTAATGAGCATGTTAATGACTTTACAAGTGTTTGGTAGTCCTAATGCTGCTATTTATCAGTACAGTAAGTTTGTATCCTTACTACACTTTCTGTTTATGTGGTGTTTCTTGTGCTATTAAATATTGGTTTGGAGTGTTCAGGCTGCACCAACATATTTTAGCACATTTTTACTCTGAGGAATATTCCTTTCTGTTGCAAAGGGTGGAAAAACATAGACTGACTGTCATAAAGCTTTTTATTCCTTCTGAAAATAGAGCACACCCGAGGCAGCATTTTGCTCTGTTGTTTGATTTTCTTGACAAAAAAAATAAAATACAAGTGGAGTAGCATATTAGATGAAGGTGCCACAGCAGCTAGAATCTGATGAGAACTTCAATTTATATGTATTTTCAGACTTTGATTTTGAAGAGCTGTCTGTGTCCATTCAGTTTATTATGTCTTAGTGTTTGGAATAATTACAATGTAAAACAAAGCATACCAAAACTACACTCTCTCTAACTGCTGTGGTTCTCTCTCCACGGAAGATGCCAGGGTTATTACATAACTGCTCATGAGGAGAGTGCTTCAGCTGGCCAGGAGCACTGAAAATGTATTAAAGTGATTGACGGTTGCGCAACCGCATTAGCGAGATGGGATCTACTGCCATAGGAGACCCGGGTCAAGGGAATCTCCATCCCCCATAAGAGATTTGAGATGGCAAAGCCCTGTGATATGCCAATAAGTAGAGTTGAAACAGATTAAGTCCAGCAAAACAGTGCAGTACATTAGAAGAGCAGACATTTCTTATCAGGCCATCTGCTCTCACACGCAGCAGTGGCTCCATGTAATTCAACAATTTCCTCTTCGTTTTGGTGACATGAATATACACGTGTACCTGCTTTGTGACTTACCCACGCACATACAACGTGTAGCTGAATGAAATGTGCAGTGCTGTCTACTCTTTCTTTGTGAAATCCTAGACTTTACTATAATTAAGTGAACTTTACCACAACGCTTTTTTAAATCTCCTGAGATGTGGATTTAAGAGTTGATGCTGTAATTTGTTCTGGCACACTCAGACCTGAATCTTTTTTTCTTTCATTTTCCCAGTGACAGATAACCTAGAATGACATGTGCCATTTATGCAATTGACACTTGTCACTTTTTTCGTTGACACAACAAAATGGTAATAACCTGGAGCTTGAATTTGGATT